AGTTCACGCCCCCTCGCCTGATCAAGAAAGATCATAAGGTAAAGCCGGCCAAATAGAATTCGCTATAGATTTCTATAGAGGTTCAGTAAAACAAAATAATTGTTCAGTTCAATTTTTATTAGAAAATAAATACGTAGTGAACACCGGGAAACCGTTTCACTTTTTGTCAACCGTATTGATTAGTGACATCAATTTGTTCAAATGTGGTGAATTAGCCGGCGCATGCGTTGAGGCTGGCAGTGATGAAACCGGGTTCTCTGAAAAATCGTCATTTGTAGCACAAATTTAAGAGTTGGGATGAAATGGTGCCCCGGTAGCGTAACTGGTAGCGCACTTGCCCGGAAAGCGAGAGGTGCGGGTTCTAGTCCCGCCTGGGGCGAAAGTTTTGTTCACAACCCAGCATTCTTGTGAAAAATTAAGAGTTTTACATCAGCTAAGTTTAAGAGCATAGTCAGGGCCGGGGGCCAACATGTCGTCAGGCCGAACGTTATTCCCATCCCTAACCACCTCACCACCTTTCAGCGTGCCCATCTCCGTACCCTAAAGATGCCCCCAGGTCATAGACGGAAGCTTATCTCTAGCAGTGATTCCCCAAGGACCTAGTTCAAAAGAAATCGCCGAGCGCTAGATACTGGTTCCATAAAGAGAGCGCAGCGGAAGTGCCATAGATGGGAGGAATGCCGATGCTCACCTCCATCCCTGACGACCCGAATATTCTTCAACCAGTCGGAGCTCGTTTTCACGTCGTGGACTTCCTTCAGGTGTTTGTCGATGTTTGTGGGAATCTGCAATGAAGATGAGGGTGATGTTGATTGGAGGGAAGAAAAAACCAGACGAAATTACCTCTCCACATTTGACACATGCCAATTTCACACCGTCCGATTTCATCTGCAACTTCAAATTCAGCACTTTTTGGCGATCCATTTGAATTAGAGAACTGAAATCATCCTACATATTTCAATATGTATATATATGGTAAAAAATGAAAGGATAAAGCATTTGCCGTTGATCAATCCCTTTTTGGGATGCGGCACGCATTCTACTTCCATTTGTACATTCGTAGTGGCGTTTGAATGCGATGTGGCCTATACAATGACTTGCGGGGGCCAGCCGATGTACAAGTCAGTGTTTTTATCCTCCCAGACAAGTCTGGTACCAATTAACCGACCCCGGAGGGATGGAAGGCTTGGTTGGCCCGGGCGACTCACGACCCAGGATTTGATCCCGGACCGCTCGCGTGGTAAGCGTGCCACTTGCCACTACACCACTTCCGCCCTTTTTTCCTTGGTATTCTTAGAAAAGCAAGGGTGCTGTAGAAGTGCTCTGATTTTGAATAGCGAGTCTTTTTTAAGCTTCCAGACAGTAATTTACCTATAAGTTTTAGGAAGATTATTGAAGTGTTGCGTGTCTTGCATGTGCCTGACCAGCATTTCCATCGTTTGAAATGTCCGACCACATTGCAGACATTTCAGAATCGAGTCGACTTCGGTGTCTTTTCGTTGGGAAGCTGAAACAATATTCATTCATTGAATCACAAAGGATTTTGGGAATTCCCAGTGCTGAACAATTTTCGAATTTCCTTTGACATCTGCATCCAAAAAAAAACTGTTAGTTTCATAAATAAGGAATGTTTTTCTACAACGTTCTGCTAACATATTAGAAAGCAGTCATCGAAAATATCAATGTTGACATGTTTTCGATTGTCAACTGCTGTTTATTCATTTATTTACAAGTCTCGTCAATAAGGGCGGCCACTTCTGCCTCGAGACCTGCTCAGTGCCGATAATGCCCTAAGGGCGATTGTTCACCCATCCGGCATCATGTCCCTACTATTTTCTTGGGCTTACATAGGGGACAAATGTGCCACTACAGACAGACAAACACTCGGACGAACAGACCAAACACTGCCAGCCAACGTGCTCAAATACTCTTTAGAATATCTAGCTCGAGGTAAAGAAACGTTGCAGATCAGAAGACCCTGAAAATCTACCCGTTGGCACCCGTCTCAAATCACTCTCACTGGCGCTGCGGTGGGCGGCAAGGATAAACCTCTGTCCTACCTGCGTGTGTGCCGCTATCGCTGCACTGCTGCGAAAGGGCAAGGCCTGTCGTCAATCGCGACCTCCTGACCGGCACCTGAGGGAAAAGATGATTCCTTGGGGGGCTACTAGGAAAGGTGAGGAAAAGTGTTATACGTGCCATTTTTACAGGGTGGCCAGAAAGTATAGTACCAGGCTTTAAGCGATTACTGGCTTGGGCCTGGAGCATTTTCGTGATATTTCAAAACTGTTTCGAAAATTTTGGAAGCTATGTAAGAGGCTTCAGAGCTGCTTGGTCCATTGTTCATCAGAACTCTATGAAGCTATGAAGACATCATACACATCTACATTATCGGGAACTGCACACCTAGGGTCTTACATGATTGCCGACTTCGCAGAATCTGGAACATGGTGCAATTCGCCTTTTCGCAACTATTTCGAAACAAGGGGTTCGCATTTGTGGTTTCGGGAAAGGGGGGTTGCATTTTGAAAGTTGCGGCAGGTTAAATAGTAAGTGGAAGGCGGGTCGTTGAAAAGGGTTGCCATTTTCCGGTACAGGTTTCAAAGGATTTGGTGGCAAGTTTCTAGGCGAGTAGTGTGAAATAATAAAAATTGGAGGATTTGCCGCTTCATGACACCAATTCAGAAAAAGTGGGCGGAGTTGAGTTGTGCCGATTGCTCCGATAGTAAGAATCGAATATTATTATTATAGAAACATCCATGATGGCGAGGGTGGCGGTCGGCGTAGGGAGGAGTGGGGTCGCATTGGGGGACCCTATTGAGACTGATGGAGGTGGTGGTAAAGAGGAGGTCGCATCGAGACCTCTAAGGGGGAGGGTCCGCTAAATTTTCGTAAAAGTGCGAACGTGACGGTTGAGTCTGGACTCGGAACTTCTTCCACTGTCATAGAGCAGTTACAGCGCAAAATGAGAAAAAACCCTCAAATAGGGGCCGATTATAAGTACCCTACCTGCGAAAAGGTGATACATACGTCTTCTCCCGCGAATGGGTATAGTGATGAAAGTGAAACCAAATTGTGGCGCTTATCTCACAGAAATTGTCAAAAACAGCTGGAAAGATCATAAACTTTGAACTTTAAAAAGGTAAAATCTCTAAAATTGAACTTAAAACTGCGCTTTCAGACCAATCCTGGACGTACACTTTCCGGATAGTGAAGTGAGGAATTGTGGCCTTCTTTCCTCCGGCCTTCAAGCCGGAGGAATCATCTATGTGAGACGTTTAAAAAAAACAAAAATTTCTTCTGCTGGTGGATGCTCTGGAAGCGGCGAATAAGAAGACATCGGTGTCGACTTCCTGCGGCGCACTGCCGATTCTGCCGTTGGACGTCAGAGGCCTTGCAGCCGAAGGATACGTCAGCCCGTACAGAGGCCCTTGTCTCAAGTTGATCACCTAGCTGTGATTCCCACTACAGTAGGACGTTGTTAGTTTTGTCCCGCCACCTAGACGTAAAAAAAAAAAAACAAAAAAAGAAAAACAAAAAAAAAAAAAAAAAATTCCAATCTCAGAATATGTGTCTATACTATTCAGCCACCCTATACATGTGTTTCTGTACCAAACAGTGAGCCCTTTTTCCAGAAAACACCTTCACGTCTCTAAGAAAAGAAAATAGCCGTCTCTAGAAAATTCTTCTTCTCTCTCTCAGTACCACTTCAAAACCTGTAACGAATTCAAGGAACACATTTCTCTGCTTAGTCACGGTCAGAAGTGGAAACCAGCTATGCGCTAGAATTGCTAGCTATACATCAACATCACTCGTTGAAGAAAGTCCTGACGATCTTGAACTTCTTTTATCGATTTCTATGAAAAGAGACTTCAGAATGACAGGGGTTTTCTGAAGGTCGACAATAAGCTGGCTAAACGAATCCGCGTGCGTAGGTCGCGCGACGCCAACTGTATAATAGCATATCTCAAGACGGCGGAGCTATCGCAAGATGCGGGGACATTATCCAGAACTAAGCCTAGGAGGGAGCAGGAGTTTAGGGGAAAATGAATTTGCTCACACGCTCTGGAGTCTGTCCTCCCTGTCTAGTGTTAGTCCGAGCAGGGTGAATATCGGTCGAGGAAATCCTCGACAGGGGGGTCGTACCTGTTGGGCTGGTCCATGGGGGGTCGTACTCTTGGGGGTCAGTAACAGAAGTGGTATCATGGTGCAGATAGGTAATAGGGTATAGCGCAGCAGAAAATGAAAACATCCGAAAAAACATGATATTAAATTTTCTTTGCAGGTTCAGTCGCTCCATTCCTCCACCTTCATGAGAAGGGCGTATTTGAAGGCAGTACAAAGAATGAAAGTGCATCCCCGCAAAGAAGACTGCCACATGTGCGCACGCGCTGCAAAGGCACCTCTGCCTATCGCTCGCTCCTTCTCCCTTAATACCTCGCTGAGAATGACGCTGTTGTTAGGGACCCTGTCGGAAAAACGACAACCGTGAAGAAAAAGCGCTGGGCAAATGAAGTTGTTTTTTAGGTTACAGGAATAGCACAACACACTATGTCTACTACAATACAGTTTCGTTCGAAGGTCCCCATCATATAACACCTTTCAATCGATTCTGCAACTGTGAGTGGAGGAGGGATGCATGGCTTATACCAATACCAAATCGGATGATGACGATTGCTCCTATTCTTATTGTTTGCGTTCAAAGATATTGTTCTAGACACATTCCGAGTGTTGCCAACGAGTCACACTTGCAATGGTGAATGAGGGAGCGGATTTCCAGGTGGCCGGATCCGTCCTCGATAGATCCTCGACGCAATTATCTCTTCAACCAAAAAGCTGTAGAAGAAAACTAAACAGACCATCAGGAAGCGCAAACCTTCCGCTTTCCAAAACTATCTTCCCTTTTTCAGGATCTTACAATATAAGAGATATATTGCTCTTGAAGTGGCAAAAACTCGCGTGAAAATTTGGGCCTCCTCGACATTTACTCGACGAAATTTGACAGACCCTATCTTTCTGCAAGGAAGGCTTCCAGAGCAATTTCGATGCTTGTTGGAAACGCGAAATCCAGCTCTATCTAACTCTACCTCAAGCTGCTTCAAAGGTTGTGAAATGGAGGAATGCAACCTTTTCATCGAGGGTGTAGATTCGGACGTTTTTTTTTGAAATTTCGGCAAATCTGACCCAGTGACAATCGCGCCGCAGCTGCCGTTGAATCGGCCTTTGATACACTCGGCTGTTTTGATATACTCAAGCAAGAATCAAGATTGAATCGCAACCCCGTGTCTTCAGGATTTCTGTGCGTTTCTGAACGAACCTCGCCTTGAGGTCACACAAAGTTAATGCCTCTTTCCTCGAGTCGATATTTCAGTATGTACACAAAAGTATGCAGCGATGGAAGACGTGCATAGATGACAAGATGAAGCGTCCTTAGCATTATTTTGCAGAATTTTTTTTGATTTGTTTTGCAGGATTTATTTTAATTGAATTAATTTGCTCTGTTAGAGGGGGTCGTGCCAGGATCTCGATTTCGGGGGGGGGGTCGTACCTCTGCGACCACGTACTCGACACGATTTTCACCCTGGTCCGATTCAAAAACGCAGATGGATTTGTACTACGGGTTTTTAGTGCCTTGCCTCCTTGATGCCCCCGTATCTTGCGATTGCGCTAGAAAATACTGTAATCTTGCAAATTTAAAAAGCTGAAATGCTCACAATCTGAGTAAAACGACAGTATACTAAAAACAGTAACGGTACGCAATGACGATGCGGAAAAGAAAACTGTACAGATAACATATCTTTTAGTTTGGATACTTTTTGCTGCCTGGTTCTCCGGCCAACTTTAATGAGATGTCAATAAGTTTTGTTACAATAAGATTAGTACTGTCGCTAGTTATGTAAATAGCTATGCGTCACTCTAATGTTATGAAGGCGGTACTTATAATGGAGTGTGGGATCAAGCACAGGTTCTTTGTGGAATCTGATTCGGGCGAGATCTACAGTTCCTACTGAACAAAACCTTCAAAATGTTGAGTGAAAGGTACGGGTCGTGGTCGAACTGGTGCGATATTTCGCTTGGAAGTGAAATACGAGGTCCTCAAAGGCCCATCAATGGACAGAAAAGCAGAAGGAGCCTGAACAACACTGAATTAAGCACCTCCCCTCTTGAGACGTACGATGGTAGCTGCGCTCTCTCGTACGACGTGTGAGAAGAGAAATGCGCGAGAGCACGTTGTACGAGAGAGCGCCGACACTACAGAGGCTGTAGAAATAGCAGCGTTGCAGCGGGTGATTCAAGGCTTGACGCTCTCACGACTCCTGTGTTCAGGGGCTCTGTTACCTCACTCATGGAGGAAAATGAGGATTTTCCGCAATCCATGACCATGATTGCCTCTTCTGAATTGTGAGCCCTGGGGGACGTCAAAGCGAATCCTCGATTATTCTTTCATTATATAAACCAGTAACTTTGAGCTCTGCTTGTCCATTCATCTGTCCTTTCCCAAAATGCTCGCCCGCGAAAAGAC